GAGCTTTACTTAGGTTCCTTCCAGTTTACCATCAACACCTGACTACGAAGCATATTTTCAAGCCTCAACCATGTGAACAAAATGCACATTTAAGCAAATAGGAAAAAATGGCTATGTAAAATGTGAAAGCATTACACCTATTTATATTAAAGCACATGAGCAGTTTTTAGCATCTCCTCACACTGTTCCAAACTCCAGCACTATTTCATCTTCAGCTCTCAAAGACTGCATGACAGAAGTTGAAAGCATCTCTTGTAGCTACAATGGGATAAAAAGTTAAGTATAAACTTGTCAGCACACAAATTTATTAGTTCTACACAAGTTCTTATTTCTAAACTTTAGAAGAATATGGTTTTCAAATTTGCACCAAATCTAATTAGAACTTTGCATGGATGACATTATGCAGATGTTCTGTTTTAAAATTAGGTCTGGATTGCATTTCTAATTGTCTGGTTTATATGATCCCAATAAGTCTACACAGAGAGTATAAATGCAGTTTATGCTTTCTAAGAGGACTCATTTTGCCTTCCCAGGTTGGTGTTGTCATAGGAAACTCAGTGCACATAATGCTCAACTATTATGGATTTAAGAATAAGAATTCCTACAGCCTGTATTAATAATAAAATAAAAATGATTAATCAGCAAACAACAATAATGTCTTTTAAAGGGTGAAATATTTTTTAAAAGGAAATCGGAGATAACATTTTTGGACACTGCTAAACAGTTCGCAGTATCACAGAATCTCATATCAAATCCAATCTCCCTGCCAAAGCAGGTACCCTACAATGGGTCACACAAATAGGCATCCAGATGGGTCTTGAATATTTCCATAGAAGGTGACTCCAGTCTCTCTGAGCAACCCTTACCCATAAACATTTTCCTCATGCTTGTATGAAACATCCTATGTTCGAGTTATAGGCCATTACTCCTTCTCCTATTGCTGTGCACCACTAAGAAGAGCCTGGCCTCATCCATTTGCTTCCCACCTCCCTTGAGATATTTATGAACATTGATCAGATTCCCTCTCAGTATTCTTTTCCCTAGGCTCCAGCCTTTTATCATCTTGATGGCCTTCCATTGGACTACTTCTAGGAGATCCCTGTCTTTTTTAAACTGGGGAGCTCAGATTCAAACATAGTACTCCAAATGTGGCCTCACCAGGGCAGAGTAGAGGAAGATTACCTCCCTTTACATGCTGGCCACAAACTTTTTGTAATGCACCCAGGATACCATTGACTTTCTTGACCACAGGGGCACACTGCTGGCTCATGGCCAACCTGTCTTCCACCAGGACCCCCAGTCTTTTACCACAGTGCTCCTCTCCAGCAGGTCATCCCCTAACCTGTACTGATGTATGTGGTTTGTATGTGGTATGCAGGTATTCCTCCCCAGCGGCAAGACTCTACACTTGCTCTTGTTAAACCTCATCAGGTCTCTCCCTGCACAACTTTCCAATCTGTCCTAGTCTTGTTGAACGGTAGCACAGCCTGCCAGTGCATCAGCCAGTGAAAAATAGAAAAAATGCTACATAACTATTTGAGTCCTCCACCAAAGATATAAAATTGCATTGGATTGTCAAAGGCATTTATTTTCTGGAAAGTAAAGGTAATTTTGAAGTAATCTATATTAAATAATTATGAGTGATGAACTTGTTAAATTACACTTCCAGAGTTTTTTTTATGCTCAGAAGACAGGCTAATGCATAGAATATTTTGTGGAGAATTAAAGTGCTTGGATAAAAACTGTGAAGTCTCCCACATCATATTCATCTCATCTCAGAAATGAAAACTAAAACCTCTATTTAACATGCATCAGGAAACAAATCTCACAGCTGGGTTCCTAAATCATTTCATCTAATACTGTTTGTAAGTTATCTGTTCAGCTTCAACAAAAACAACTATGAACTGTATTATACATTTGACCAAATGGCTTGTATTGAAAAAGGAGAAAAAATGTCACAGAATCATGGAATCATAGAATCACAGAATGGCTTGAGTTGGAGGGGACCTTAAGAATCATCAGGTTCCAATCCCCTGCCACATGCAGGGTTGCCAGCTGCTAGATAAGGTACTGGATCACATTGCCCAGGGCCCCATCCAGCCTGGCCTTAAACACCTCTGGGGATAGAGCATTCACAATCTCTCCGGGCAACCTGTTCCTGTACCTCACCACTCTCTGTTAAAATCTTCCCAAACACCTAATCTAAACTTTCCCTCCTTTAGTTTAGAAACCATTCCCCCTTGTCCTATCACTATCCACCCAAGCAAAAAAGTAGATTTCTCTCCTGCTTATAAACTCCTTTTAAATATTGGAAGGTCGCAATGAAGTCTTTCCACAGCTTTCTCTAATCCAGGCTGAACAAGGCCAGCTCCTTCAGCCTGTCTTCATAGAAGAGCTGCTACAGCCCTCAGATTATCTTCATGGCCCTTCCCTTCACCCTCTCCAACAGCCCCACATCTTTGCTGTGCTGGGGGCCCCAGACCTGGATGCAGTACTCCAAATAAGGCCTCATGAGGGCAGAGTAGATGCAGACAATCACCTCCCTCGCCCTGCTAGCCACTCCCCTTCTGATGAAGCCCAGGATACCATCGGCCTTACACCCTTACACACTGCAGGCGCACACTGCTGGCTCACGTTAAGTTTTTCATTAACCAGGACCCCTATGTCCTTCTCAGCAGGGTTAGTCTCATGAAGCTCTTCTCCCATTTCGTAGACATATCTGGGATTGCCTTGACCTAAGTGCAAAAACTTGCACTTTGTTGAACATCGTTAGGTTCAGAAAGGCCCACCTTTCAAGTTTATCAAGCTCCCTGTAAGATTTAGCTAATTTGGCTATTGCCAAAAAAAAAAAAAAAAAAAAAAACCTGAACACAAAGCAATAGTTCTCTAATAGTTGCTGTACCTAAGAGTCTAGAAGGCTATAAGCAGTTTGTGTAGTGGATTTATTGGTAAGGTTTAACAAAGTTCAAAATTTACGTGGAATGATTCTATCATTCTAACTCCATTTATATTATTTTAGCACCAGATTTCTCACAGAGTTGATGACTCAGAGGAGAGGATGGAGTCCAGACCCTCCAGGGCTTATAAACTAAAGAGCAACAACTAAGGACCTATGCAGTAACTCTCACACATTACCAGCAAAGCACTAATGGAATGGTGAATGAAACTGTGCTTTCATTATGCTGTTAAATCACAGGGGATGGGTTTCTGATCACAGTTATAATAGCAGTATTTTTTCATCATTTTGAATCCACTTTTCTTTTAATAACTACTGAGGAATTTTTTATTTTTTATTTTTTTACTTTAAGATATGAAAAGATTTCTAAAAGGTTTTCTTAGTTACTAAGAATGTCCTGGCTTTCCATCTGTCCTTGCAAAATACTGCAGGTTATTTCAAGAACTGATGAAAATTTAATTCTAAAAATAATTGGACACTGGACAAAAAAAGCAAACAAGCAAACAAAACCATAACAGCTTTACATCATGCCTAATAAATGTAAAGATATCCTTCTGGTATTAATGTATTGCATAGACATACACCCACACGAAGGAATCTCTGAGGGTCCCTAGTTCAAATCCCTTTGCTTAAAGTGGGGCAAACTAGAGCACACTAGAATAGGTTGTTCAAGGCCTTCTACATTTAGGCTTTGAGTAACTCAAAGGATTCAAACTCCACAACATTTCCAAACATCCTTGACATGCAAAAAGAGTTTTTTTTTTTTTTTTCTTTTGTTTTGCTTTCTTTAGATTTTATTCTTTTTTCTGTTTTTTTTATTTTTTTATTTTTTATTATGTAAGTGGACCAAGACTTCATGGGCAAGTTCACTGCCTCTTCTCCTTAAAAATGAGCAGAAAAGCAAGCCTCCCTATTTTGAATGGAAAAGTTTGTACTTATAGTTAAACAAACAGTTATTCAGATGGGGTGGAAAACAGATGTCTCCTAATATGCATACAGGGGATGTCAGGAGACTACAACATCAGATAAAGACAGACAGACAGATTAGCATATCTGAATCAAAGGCATGCCAGGATATAAAAGGGAATGCAGATATGCCATTGGCATTTTGAGTATGAACACCTGCAGAAACCTTTCAAGTTACAAACACAGATAGTTAAAGTGCTACCAGCTACTACTTCCAGAAAGATACAGAAAGTATTCAGCTGCATATAATGTCACTTAAAGACAAGCTACTGTTAAAAGCCAGACAGCAACCTATCACAGCCTTTTCTGGTGATCCTTATTTTATCTACTCACCATCCATGAATTTGATTAACCTCTTTAGCAAGAAGAAAAGCTCTGCTTAAAAGTATGCAGTGGACTACACCAATTCCTTATTGCTGAGTGTTACCAGCAACAGATAAAGTCAAACTGAAGTAACAGAACATAGGCGTACCTGTAAACTTCAGATCAAAATCATCTAGACAATAGGTTAGGTAATTCTCTTTCCTGTATAAAACTCTCTGTGCTGGATAGTCTATCACTGTTAACGGTAAACTGAAAGATCTTTGATATTTTAAAAAATGTCTTAAAATGTCTCATACCTTAAAACTGAGGTATGAGTAAGGTCAACACTTTACAATGTTCTCAGATTGTTACAGAACTCATTTTCAACTTCAACTGATTCAAAGAAAATTATTCTGCATACAGGCAAAAGGATAAAGCAACGACCAACTGTACAAATGTCATAAACAGAATAAACTAGAACTCTTAAACTGTAACCATTCTTGTTAAAGAGGGAAGAAAATTAGCGGTCATCAGTTCATGCTACTTTGTAACAACCTCATCTAAAAATGCAAAAGGAAACATTGCAAACCAAATGTAAACAGGCATAAGAAACTTCTCAGCTGAAAAAAAACAAAACAGGAAGGGGAGAAACAAAGGTATATGTTCAAAAATGAGGCAAAAGAGAGAGTAAATACAGCTGTTGGTTTTTGGTTTGTTCTTTTTTTTTTTTCCCCAAAACCATGGCCATGTGCATAATATAGATAAAGGTCCTTACCTTTTTCACTGACACTTTCACTTTCTATCTCCACATCTTCACAGCTAGTATATTCTGGTGTTGATGCCCCTTCTTCCTCTGAGCTACTAACTGACATCTGCCTTTTCTTTCCGCCTCTTTTTGCTCTATGAGGCTTTGGAGGGGATGGCCGCACTGATTCCGACTGGTCAGAGCTAAGGGAATCATTCCTTAGCATGGTCTCCATTTTCTCCCGCTTTGCTTTTCGCATGAGAATAGCAGAGCTAGGATCAAGGCGGCTCTGTTTTTTAAAGGTATCGTGGTTCTTGTATTCTACGTGTTCTATGGGAACTGGACTATGCCTGGGAGTTGGTGGACTATGATTAGTTAATTGTTTAGAAACAGAAATTCTTACATCACCTGTTCTGTCTATAGAGTACGACCTCTGAGTTTCCACAAGAGATTTTCTGTCCTGAGTTCCCTGTAATTGTGAGCGTTTTCCTAAGTTATTCTCAGGTACCTCCGCTTCCTCCATTTCTGTGTGTGGCAAAGCTACATCACTGTGTCTTCTCTCATGCCGTGCTTTAGAAACCTTGGCATGCATGCGCATTTGCTGTTCCTCAGGATGTGGTTTAACAGGATATCTTGCCAGATTGGGGTCACTCCTGTACCGAGTATGATATTCATCTTCCTTCCTTTGTTTTTCATCATCAGGCACTTTGCCTTCCTCAAGTTTTTCTGGCAAGTCGGGATAGTCTTGTGACTTCCCTTTTTCCAGTCTTCTATTTTCATGCCTTTCTTTACGTTCCCTGTCATCTGCTGGTCCTTCTTTTTGAAGTGAGGTTTTTGGCACACGCTTACGCTCACTCTTTACAACTTTGCCATTCTGGTCTGAAACCAACGTCTTCTTCCTACAACGAAAAAGGAATACAGTAATTTGAAAAATTTAATGCACAAAAAAAATACTTGCATAAAATACTGCAATATACATACAGTGATATTCCAATATACAACACCAAGACAAAGCCTGTAGGAGTGATTTTGTGGCACTGAGCCTTCCTTTCCTCCTTTCTTCCACACCAATACATTTTCAGATTACATATCATAGATTTTCTACAAATGTACTCTATGGGACAGTCAAAGTTGGATATGATCCAAGTTAAGCCCCTGTCTCCTTTTTTCCTCCATTGCCTTCTGTGTGAGCTGCTGGCAATATGCTGGCTCATCACCAATGCTCTCCATTCAAAAGCACTGGACTTCCTTTGAAAGTCTCAGTAAAAAGTAGAGGACACTGCTATTGCATTATTGATACAACCATCTCATTTTTGGATAGTAAAGCAGAAATAGAAATCCTTTTGATGCATTAAGAGTATCCTTCAACTGCATGATGATTGCTCTGTGGCCCTTCTCAACTTTGAGGAAAAAGGAGTCAACAGAATCAGGGGAAGGCATCAGGCATTCGTTTCTATCATACCTATGCATAATCCTAACCAGAGTTTTGCTCCTGTTAAACTAGCACTAACCTCACCCACACAATAGGTTACTAGCCATCCTTCCTTATTCATTTTTCAACTTGAAAAGCTATGGAAAGAATGATGAATTTTTTGATCCAAGGAAGAATCTACCACAGCATAATCTTATTTTGTTGCCACAGGGCTCCTCCTCATTTGTCCTCCCAGCAGACAAAAGAGCAGCAAGTGATTCATCACACTATCCTCCCTTCATTTGACATTCTTTGCCCAGTTCATTACAACCAGTGCAGATCAGGAATTTACTCATTTAGCCACTTAAAATATAGAATCATAGAATCATTTGGGTTGCAAGGGACCTTCTAGGGCCATCTAGTCCTACTCCTCTGCAGTGAATAGGGACACCTACAGCTACATCAGGTAGCCCTGAGCCCTGTCCAGCCTGGCCTTAAATGACTCCAGGGACGGGGCATCCACCTCCTCTCTGGACAACCTATTCCAGTGTTTCATCACCCTTACTGTATAAAAAACATTTTCCTTATATCCAATCTAAATCTCCCCTCTTTTCGTTTGAAATCATTTCCCTTTGTCCTATTACAACAGACCCCTATTAAAGAGTCTATGCCCCTTTTTCCTATAGCTTCCCCTTTATAATATATAATAGTTTTTCTGGCTGGTTTCAGTTTTTCAAGCAACTTACTCTGACTTCAGGATGGTGCAATTACTGTTCTTCATGAATGTTCAATATTCAATATTAAAAGTGTATGTCAAAATATGCTTACAAAAAAAACCCACTTATTTATTTTCTCTCTCCCCTCCATTTCTGTTGCCCAAAAAAAAAACCAAAAAACAAAAAACACACATTTCAGATGATATATTTGCTTATGTACACTTAATCCTTTCCTGGTAAGTGAAGCAATTCACCCTTGCATGGCTCTAGGCTCACATACAGACCAGCCAAAAGCCCTGTGTAAAGTCGTGGCACTAGTACCTATAACTGTGAGGTTCTGCAAAGGCAGAAAGCCTTACCTCTCTCTTGGAGGCTCACTTCTAGACCTTGATGAAACTTGCTTTTGCTCCAGGCCCATAGCTGGCTGCGATACCTCAGCTCCTTTCCTCCGATCGGACTGAACTGTGGAAGGAGAGATCTCCTGTGATGAGGCAGCTGCTGTGCTTAAAGGAGTCTGTGATCTTGACCTCTCTTGAAGCCTGGCTTTCTTTTCTCTCGGTGCATCAGAGCTTGCACCAGTTGCCGTATCACTCAGTGTTCCATCCTGGCTGGGTGATGGCTGTGGTCCACTTCCAAAAAACCACGCTCCGGATTTTGTTAAGATTTCTTGTTGCTTTCGACATAAATTGCATACCCACATAACCTAGTTAAAGACAACAAGAAGAGTCAGTGCAGCTGTCCCTCAGACCCAGGAGCACACGCTCACCCTCTCATGGTCAGCTATGGCCTCCCATTTCCTCTAAACTGATGAGGTTTGTGCTCATGCCAGTGCTCAAACATGCTTCTCCAAGCGTTACCTGCACTGGCCAGAGCCAGGCATCCTACAGGCACATGCTCTGCAAGCTTCTCCAAAATATGCTGTCAATATATGCCAGTATAGCAACCCTCCTCAGCCCAGCCCTAGCTCCCTTGATTCAAAGTGTCTGTATGCTGGCTGTGGTGAGGTCCACCAGGCCGGGCAAAGCTTGGAACTGGGTGGCAGAGCTCTGCACAGCTGCTGGTCCAGCCACTGCCACAGAAAACTGACACGGCATTTCCCTTTAATTTTACTTTGTACCACATAATATTATTCCATAAATAAATTCAACATTTACTGCATGTACATTTAGCTACATCCACAACAGCTACTTACCAGAGACGTAAGGGAGGACCTATATAAAACCTACTAATAGAGAACTCAATGCACCAACAGTATCATATTTTGTACTACTTGAAAATGATCAAAAACCATCTCTTTGATTTACAGTGATAAATCATAAAAAAACAAACACCTGACAATCACAATTAAGCTGAGTTCATCAGTGGTGCTGCATAGGATTTTTGCTTAAGTTTCAGACACAGAGGTTATCAGAGCACATACAATAAAGCGAGACTGAACATTTCAGGCCTACACACTACATTAAACAGTCTTAAATGCAAGAATTAATCACCAGCAAAAAATAAAAGATTCTTGAGCAGAATGAAGTCTGGGAATATTTTTCTTTTTTAATAAATGAGACAAAGACAAAAGGAGCTTTTGAGGTAGAAGAACAAACACAAAAAGCATAAAGAATATATGAGGTAGGGATTTTTTCAGAAAAAAAGATAGAGATGAAAGGAAAAGTAAGGTTGAAAACTATAGAGGAAAATGGAAAAAAAAAAAAACCTGAATGTGGAAAGAAGTAAAGGAATGAATAAAGCTAAAGTAAGAGGATAAGAAGGATAATAGAAGTTGCAATGAATAACATGTTTAAATTATTTTGTGTCAACACAGGAATGACAGAACTGTGGTAAAATGATGCAACATTTAGAATGAAAAAGAACAGAAAAAAAATCATTACAGGGAGGAAACTGCAACAGGACAAAGATCTGGCAGCAAGCTCTTATTCTCCAGCTTGGAAGGAAGTACATGCCTTCACTGATAAAATAAAATTTTAGACATTTAACACATATAAGATAATAAAGATTTACTTATAAAGCACCCTAGAACAGACTATCTGTTTAGGTCTGAAGAATACATTACAACTTCCAACACCATTTCTCTCCTGTTTGACCAAACCATACTGAGAAGACTCAAACTTTTCCCTGCATCTGGACCATTACATTTTTATGTAGGAAGGACAGTAAAATACCAATTTAAAAACTTCAATTAATTAAAAAAAGAAAGAAAAAAAAAAAAAGGAAAGAAAAAAAAAAGCTACAATTACTTCAGCAAAAAAATACGTCTTATGTCAAAAATGGATAGATAACTTGCAGTAAGACAAGAGGAGTAGCGAATTCATCAAAACAAATACTGGCCCTTGAAGAGAAAACGCCTCGATTCCAAAATGTTGCATTTCCTTAATCTAGAACACATCTCAAAACAGCAATTCTGATTATCAAACTGTATTATCAGAATAGATTTCAGTCTGATATCATTATAGGTATTCAAAATACCAACAAGGCTAAAAGGAAAAAGAATTCACACGCAGAAATGCTTTTATAGGCTCTGAAAAAACTGTTATCTCCTTAGACAGCAAGTGTGTGCATGCACACACGTTTATGTGTAAAATTTATGTTGGTGCTATAAACTAAAGTCATTAATAAAAAATATGGCATGGCCTAAATATCACTGACTCAGAAGGAAAGTTGAAAAAGACTTAATAAAAATTTAACAAAGCGAAGCTTGTTTAAAGGAATGGTAAGGAATACTACTATCAAACTGAAATGTTCTAATTTTCTTTCATGTGGATGTAAGTATGGCACTAATACTTTAAAGGAGTAACAGACTTCATTTACAAGTTAATGCATTTTATCATTTAGAATATGTAAAAAAATCATGTAATAAATGTCAAAAATTATCATTAATTTACATAATCACTTTGATATTTTAATTAGTTTTACAAAACTACTATAAAATCCAAACAAATAGGAACAGCCAATGCACAAATAGATACAAATAAATACAGAATAGAAAAAGAAATACTAGACATGTAAGTACAAAAAAAGCATTTTCTCATAGCTGTCTTTAAATACCACCATTTAGACACAAAATACAAACCCATCACCACAGACTGCACACACAAAATACTGGCATTATACTCACAAGAAGGCTACACTACCATCCCTCTTTAGGATTCTCTTCAGGACTTAACAAATGCTACGTTTGCCTTAAGATATATTTAGACCAAAAGAAAAAATAAAAGAGCTTTTCTTTAAAATGAAGAAAAAAAAACACAAAAACTTGAGGTGGTATAACAGTTTCAGTGATAAAACTGTATACTGAAAACCATTTTTAGAAATAAAAACTGTATATTGAAAAACATTTTTAGAGAAGTATGTGGAGCAAGCAGTTTAGCAGCATGCAGGAATTATATCCTGATTGAATATACTGGGATGTGATCCAAACTAATCTAAACGAAAGCAGGTCTGTGTAATAACTTATCTTAACAATCCACAGATGTTAGGCAACCAAACAAATGCTCTGATGAAGGATTACAGTTCTCTAATGTAGCTTCTGGGCCTCCATGCAATGCATCAGTAAAATGAAGGGTGTTAGATTATCTATTTTCCTCTGGCCTGTCACATCAAAAGTAGTTGGCTTACTTTTTTCTGGATGGTGAGCTCCGATGCAGCACTACAGTAAGTCAATCAAGACATGTATAGTTTTTGTTGTTGGTTTTTTTTTGTTGTTGTTATTGGGTTTGTGGCTGGTTTATAGCATCCTCCCATAAATCAACACATAGCCGCACAAGAAGCTATTTAAGTGAACCAAGAAAGAGGTGCTCCTCATCCAAACCGTTCATATGCACAGCTCAGGAAATATGTTCATTTGCACTGCACAGCAAAGGGATCTAGGCTTTACTGCTACACAACAGAAACAACGTGGCACAAACAGAACTCAGCAGAGGTGGGTCAATTCCCACACAGATTCACATCAAAAACTTCACAGGCTGCGTGAAAACATGCTAGAGGAATTCCATGCTTGCCTTCAAGTGGAATATGGGGTATTTCATTCACAGAAAAAATATTCCTCAAACTTACTCTTACAGGTACTGGTGATCCACAATGAGTAGGAACAGTATTCCTGTACTAACACAACATGAAATTCCAACTTGAAAGAGCCCATAGTAAACAATATATACAACCATGCACACAGAGAAAAAGAGCATTTTCAGTTATGAAAATAAGAACACTTCTTTATGATTAAATATTTTAAAACTGTATTTTAGAATGAAGAAAAAGGCTTTTTTTTTTTTTCCATATTCTAATTTGGAGACTTCACTCCAAACATGCACTGTTAGAAGAGAAACAAATCTTATACCAAATCTGTGCGCCTCTTGCCAGGCCAAATTCACACTGAAGTTGCTGCAAACTCCCCAAAATCCTTTACCCAAGCCCAGATACTTATGAGGCCTTATTGTGAGTACAATCCTTCACCCTTTACGAGTTCAGAAGTGGCAAACTCACAATTGCACAAACACCCATACATCCTGCTTCATCTACACACAAGAAATTAGGTATAATTAGGTGCGCTAATATAGCAGGCCACAGGGCATGCTATACTGAACCTTCATGCTAGCAGAATTATTTCCTTTCTGAAAACTGTCTACACAATGCCTTTTGTGTTTATTGCTTTTGTTTGTGTTTCTTTAGCCACCTTCTTCTATATACTTCTAGAAGATACTAGTTATTTCAAGCAGATCTAATTAGGCAGACCCTTTTCTCTGCTACAGACGCCATTAACTTCAGCACCTACACCATTGCTGTAAAGTCAGAGGAAGGGAATGCTATCAATTTTTATCTCATGATACTTTCCATTCATACAATTGAGTTAAACTACGTAACACTTCATTTTTCTCAGGTTACAGAAAAGAAGCAGCAAACAAGTCAGTAAGAAGCACTGCATTCATCTCCTACTACATCAGAATGAATTATGTAATAAAACAGTAGCTAAAGGGTTGTAACTCCTACACTCCGTGAAAATATAAAGAAATGAAGCTGATAGTCTATTTCAATGTTTACATTCAAAAGTCCAAACTCTAAATAAGCAAACAACTGTATCTTTCTAATGAGAATATGCTTGTGAAACCAAGCTTTCATTAAATAATTTTTTCAAAATTATATGGGCAGCTGATTACATCTAATGTCTCCCAGTAACCAAAAGCGAAGGTCTTCTCACTATTCTTCCCCTCACTTGCTCTTCTTTCTCCCTATCCCGGTTTGTCCTCTCCCTTTCTTGCTTCCATCTTCACAATATCACATAATCCATTGCATCTTCTCCTTTGACTGTCAGGTCAAAATAACCAGCTGAACTGAAAAACATAGTAGAAATTAATCTGTATTTTTTAGCTGGGTTAATTTTTCGTCACAGAGATCTTTCTCTTGGAGGAATATGATGAACAATTAAAATAATGTTGTCAAAAATTGAGGCAAATGGAGAAAAGATGTTTCTCCAATGCAGTGGCTTACTGACTCTTGGAAAACTACATCTTAGAACATCTCAAATACCAGCACATTATGCTTACACAAACATTTTTGAGCACTGAAGCAAGCAAAATGACATGAAACAATCTGCACTTATACTAGGATCTTCAAAGCAAGGTGGCTGCACATTAACTGTCTCCTGGAGATGACTCCAGCCCAAAAACCACCAAAAAAACTTAACTGATGAGAAAGTACTAGTGGGCAGAAGACCAGAAGACCAACAGTAAGTCACGTAGCCTTCTGTCAGTTTACCAGCTCAGGAGCAGACCCAGAGTATGTCTAATTCGTTAGTACA